TGCCGGCCGGCCACGCACCGCCCCGTGTGTGCGTGCGCGGACAGACCGGCCCCAGGACTGCGAGACGGAGATGCTCAATACAGGATATGCAAGAGGCGGCGCGGCCGGCGGCGCTGGGGCGTGTCGTGCGCGCGCGCGCCCGGCTGGCGCCGTTTACCCGCCGAGGGGTCAGCGCCCGTGTTGTTGTTGTTTTAATTTAATTAGTGATTTTGATCGATTGCGACTGCGCGGCCCGGCCGGCGGGTGCATGGTGGCGGGTTCATTTATGCGCTGTCGGCGGCTGTTGTGTGCCTGCGGCTGGCCTGTGGCGGGCAGGCGGCGCCCACTGTATACTCTGTGACACGCCCCGAGCACTGAATATACGGCTGAGCTGATGCCGACTGTGTCCTCTGGTGCTGTCCGTTCAGTGGTTGTTGTTGTTGTTGTTTGTTCCCTCCAGGTCGACCTCAGTCGACTGTAGCCTGACGGCTCTGCAGGGTCCTGAAAGCGGCCGCCAGGGCCGCGACAACTCCGTCGCTCCGCACCTCTTCCCTGTTGGGTCTGATTGTCCCGGTGAGTCGCAGCCTGGCGCCCATCAGGGCCGGGCACTCGACCAGGACGTGGTACGGAGTATCCGCCGTCTCTCTGCACAGGGGGCAACGGGCACCCTGGCAGTCCACGTCTTCGCACTGCGGGCAGTGTCGCGACGGGTTCCGGCCGATTCGGTGGAGGTACTGGGCGGAGCCTGACCAGTGCCCCGCTCGCAACTGGTGCACATCCACCGCCTCTGCTCGATCCAGGTGTCTGACTGGTCCCGGCAGCTTCGCTCCCATGAGGCTGCGGTACCATCCGCGCGGCCAGTCGCTGACCCACTGGTCCCGCGCCGTCCTTGCCACCGCGCGGTACACCGTCATGGCGTCGACGGGGACTTCCTCTTGGTCCAGTGCTGAGGCTTGCTTCGCCAGCTCGTCCGCTCTCTCGTTCCCGGGCAGGCCGCAGTGGGAAGGTACCCACTGTAGGTAGGTACGCCTGCCGCGGGCCGCCAGCTGTTGAAGCGCCGCCCAGATTTCTCCTCCTATGAGGGTTGTTTGGGTAGAGGGGCCACCCCGGAGTGTCGCCAGAGCTGACTGGGAGTCCGTGCATATCACGATCGGCTCAGGAGGGAGGGTTTGTCGGTCCAGCAGGAACTTCAGCGCTTCTCTGAGGGCTACCATTTCAGCACGGTAGCTGGAGCAGACGTTCCCCGCCGGCACCGTGAGTAGGTGCTGCTGGCCGTCCGGGTCCTCGATGAAAACGCCAGCGCCGCCGTTTGTGATGCCTCCCTCCACCGAGCCGTCGGACCAAACCCAAGTCGCGCACTGTGGCAGACTACCTAGGTGACAGGTCGCCGCGTCTCTCTTCTGTGTGGAAGTCGCATTCAGTGGTAGTGGTCCCACGTCCAGGCTGATGGTGACCCCGCTCTTCACTTCCCACGGGGGGACGCTCGCCTGCGATACTGGGTCGATAGGGGGGCCGACACCGGCCGCCTCCCACATCTCTCGTCCCAGGGTTCTCCAGCCCGTCACGGATCTTAGACGGGCCGGGGCGTCCGACGCGGCTACTCGATGGAGCGGCTCCTCCGGGGGGAGCGCAGTCGCCTTGGCCAGGAAACGCGCAGCCAGTGTCCTTCTCCTCACCGATACCGGGAGAAGGCCCGCTTCCGCCATGAGCGCGTCCGACGGAGTGCTGCGAGTGCACCCCGTGACGACTCTCGCCGCTGCTCTCATTTCCCTCTCCAGAAGTTCCACGTGGGAGGGCGGCGTGGCAGGAAGCCAGGCTGCTGCGGCATGCTCCAGGGCTCCTCGGACATAGCCGCTGGCTACTGTCCGGAGCAGGTCCTCCTCGAGGCCCCAGGAGCGTCCGGACAGCTGACGCAGCTGCGCGATGCGTGGGCGGACCTTCTTCCTCAGCTTATGGCAGTGGGGGCCGAAGTGGAGCAGACGGTCTAACTGCACGCCGAGTAGGCTGATGGAGTCCGTGGCTGACACTGTCTTCCCCGCCATCTTAATCTGGCAGTCGACTGCGTCGCGGTGCCACTGTGACAACACCAGCATCTGGGTCTTCTCAGCTGCAACGACCATCTTCGACTTCTTTGCCCAGGCGAGAAGGGCGTCTGCAGCCCTCTGGGCCCTGTCCTTGGCTATCTGGATGGAGTTCCCGGCGCACAGTGCTGCGGTGTCGTCCGCGTACATATACGGTGAGACACCGGGGATGTCGCGGAGATCTTGCACGAGTGTCGCCGCCCATAACAAAAACAGGGACGGCGAGAGCACACTGCCCTGGGGCAGGCCCGCTCTAAACACTCTCTCCCCGCTGAGCACCCCGTTCACCTCTACCTTGACTCGACGATCTCTGAGCCACTGCCACACCCAGTTCACCATGCAAGCCGGGAGGCCCAGTTCCAGCAACCGCAGTCTGAGGAGGCGGTGGTCGACTTTGTCGTACGCCCTCGCAAAATCGAACGCGAGGAGGACGTACTTCTGCGCTGTGGCGCCGTCTTGATGGTTCTGGTGTCTCGGTCGGGGGAGCTGCCACCCATCTTGTACCTCCTGCACGAGGCGGCCGATGCTGTCCTCCACAGAGCGGTGAGCTCTGAAGCCCACCTGCTCCGGCGGCACCATGCCCCTGCTCTCGCTGAGGTAGGTGAGCCGGGCTAGGATCAGTCGCTCTGCCAGCTTCCCGACGTGGCTCGTCAGGGCAATGGGACGGTAGCTGCTGAGGAGCCTTTTGTCTTTCCCGGCCTTGGGGATGGGAATCACTGTCGCCGCGCGCCATTCTCTTGGGACTTCTGCTGTCGCCCACGAGGTGTTGATGAGACGTAGCAGGGCGTCACGCGCGACAGGACCGAGGTGCCGCAGCATCTCGTTTGAGATCCCGTCCGGGCCAGGGGCTTTCTTCAGCTTGGTTTCTCGGATGTGTTGAGCGAGTTCTTCAGGGGTGAAGGGCCCACAGCAGCGCCCGGCCTCTCTGTCTCCTTGACATTCCGCACAGCGCTTGAGGGCGGGTTCTTGCAACTTCTTCTTGACCTCTCGGTCTATCTTCGTTGCTCGGATCTGCCGGGACACATGGGCGTACGTCCTGGCAAAAGCATCCGCCTTGGCGCGGTCGGTGACAAGCAGTCGGCCGCCGTCCTCCATTGCCTGGCCATCTCGCTGTTCCTCATCCGTTGACTTGTCCCACTTCTTTAGGAGTTTTGAAACTCTCCCCAGACTGGCTGGTCGGTTCAGCGTCTCAGAGACGAATTGACGGAAGCGATCACGGGACACTCTCCTCTCCACCTCCGCCGCCCTCTGTTTCGCCTCCGTCCACCTGGTCCTGGACCGCTCGTTCCCAGGCTGCAGCAGGCGTCGGGCCTCCCGGCGCTCCGCTACGGCCTCCCTCAGCTCGGGGTCGAGTGCCCACGGTTTGGGGTCCGCGCGGGCCCCGCAGGGGATATGCCGCACGCCCGCCTGACGTAGGGCCGTCGAAAACCGGTCGCTCTGGAGCTGCGCCGACTCTCCCGGAGTCCCGGCCTCAAGGAGGGCCGCCTCACAGGTGTCGCGGAACGCAACCCAGTCGGCCTTGTCGTAAGCCATCCTCGCCTTGCGGATCCTGCGGGGTTGCTCTCGAATTCCGCGCATCTCCACCACCATCGGCAGGTGATCGCTCCCGAGGTCCGGACCGATCCACCACCTGCTCCTTCGGGCCAGGGCCGATCCACACACCGCCAGGTCGGGCGCGGACTGACCTCCGGAGCGGTAACTGGCGAAGGTCGGGTCGCCGCTGTTGAGTGGCGCCCAGTCGATCCTCTCGAGCCAGTCCGCGATTCGCGTTCCGACCCGGTCTGCAGCTTCGCAGCCCGAGTCCCAGGAGGGGTGGTGGGCATTCAGGTCACCGACGATGAGTGTTTCGTCGTCACTGGGCAGGAGGTCCGGGTCGAAGTTGTCCTCCCGGTCATCGTTCGTCGCTCTGATTGGCGGTCGGTAGATGTTCAAGATACGAGTCGGGGTGGGTCCCAGGATGCGTACCCCACACAGCTCTGTGGAGTCGTCGGTAGCGGCCAGAAGGTTGTCGATGACGGGGGTGAAGGCCAGGCCAGCTCGCACGTAGATGGCCACGTCGCCCCCCTTCACCACCTCCATGTCCGCTCTTCGCCCTCGCGCTCTCCGCACCACAACGGGTGGCTGAAACCCTGAGAGCCTTGGCACGGCCTTCGGAAACTGACCCTCCTGCACCGCCAGCACGTCTGCTCTGACCGTGGGAAGCCAGCGTTGGAGCTCGGTGATCTTCGACCGGAGTCCCTCCGCGTTCCATGATACTACGATCATGTGGCTTCTCGTCCGACGGTTGCGACGATATCGGCGATTCTTGGCTCGTCTCCGGCCGGCCGGGCGCCTCCCGTGTGGCGCGCCGCCCCCGTCGGCGGTATCGGGGGCGGGCGCGGCCCGCTGACTAATCATCTAGCGGGCCGGGTCGCGCCGGCGCGCGACTCCGGACCCGCTGGTGGCATACGCTGCCCTGGGCGATGAGGTCGATCTGGTAGGTAGCGCTGTCTGGAAGAGGTGCGAAGCAACAGGTGGCGCGGCGGGAGGCCGCTGCCAGGTCCCTCTCGGAGAGGGCACGGTTGGAGCCCGTTTGGTGACCGCGTTCCGGCTGCAGACCGGGCGCGGCGGGCCTGACGGCCCACACCTCCCACCGTGACGCCAGGCGTCTGAAGGCGGGCTCCTCCAGGAGGCCCGTTCAGTGGTCGGTGGTGGTGTCGAGCGGGCGGTTTGTGGTGTTGAAGAAGGGGTAGTCTAGGGCTGGGACGATGTAGGAGGGTCGAAAGTGCCGGCGAATGCGGTTATCCAGAGGTGGGCAGTGCAATGCGGCTGGGAACGCGTCCAAATTCATTGACAGTTGGCCTAGCGGTGATATCTGCCGAGTTTTATCGTCATCCCGAAGGTTCCGGGTTCGCATCCAACCTGCAACGGTTACACGTTTCAAACAGTTCTTAAGGGGTATATCGTATTGAATATATTCAACGGACGGGACCAGTACAGTCACTCCTCACTCGCTGTCACTCATCACCCACTCGTAACTCGTGCTCGAGCCGCGGCAGTGTGCCGCACCCTCCCAGCTCTGTTAGAGTAACACAGGGCTAGCGCGGCGTCTAAAGCTACACAGATATACTCCGCGTCGGCCCGAGCCCTGGCCCGCCGGCCGCATTGAGCTCACTCGACCCACCCGCCCCCCGGCGACGTTCCTCCTCACTGGCGACTATCACATGTTCTGCATTACCCCAGCGACAGGCCGTGACGGTCCAGTCAGCCCGCCCGGCCGAAACCCAGCGGACGCTCCAGCCGCCGGCCGCGGAAACAGAATCAACAAAAGCTACATCACCGATGAGAAATAAGCAGTGTTTTATAGAATACATCACTTGGTATTTCCACCGGGATTATGCGGAGGCGCCGGTTATCTATGGATGGCCATTCGATTCGGTGACACGGAGTCCGCTAGACTGTCACCTATGCGGTCTGGCATTGGTCACTGTCGGGCCCTGCCCTGTCATCGGTAATGTTTTCAGTTCAAGGCGGCCGCTAAATCTCCGGCACCAGCACTAGTTAGTCAGCACCAGCAGCAGTCAGCACCAGGCTCCGCTGTTCGTCGCAGTTCCAGTCCCCTGTCTCGCGTTCCTGCCGGTCATGGGAAAAAAACACATCTCAGCATCTTTGACGGACCGACGATCATCTGACTACGAAAGCTAACTCTTCTTCGTTAATCAAAATCTTAAAAGGATACCATGCTTGTCAACAACACACGCAAGCCACTGCATTCACAAAATACATAGCAGAGTGCAATATAACATCAGTTGTTATGACTCGAAATGGACGATTACTATCCTCACAATCCTCATCAGGGTGAGATATTCTGTCATTAATCCAGCAGTCTCCTGCCGTACCTGCGCGGTGCATCCGTCGGCGGCCGGTGCCTCACGTCTTGGTTCCCTGTATCCTGCTCTCCCACTGGTCGATTAGCCCGCTGCGCCGCCTCCCGGTGGACATGCTGCCCGGCAGCTGACGGGTCGAGGGAACTGAGTCAGTGAGAGCTCTCAGTGAGACCGAGGGAACAGTCAAGAGTTGGTGTGAGCTGTCAGTGGGCCAGTGAGAACATTCAGCGCCGGGTGATGATAGCCGAGACTCTTTTGGGAGGCGTGAGTAACACTGTACTCTACGTACACCACTTCCGTAACTGAACATTTTTGACACACACAAAATAGATCGCAAAATAGGCCGTGACGCTTCATTAAACACTACCCTAACTCACCTCCGAGTCAAATCCTTAAGCGACTAATCCTAAAATATCTACCCGCCCCACCCGCCGGTCCGTCTACCCCCCACATACTAACCTGCTCGTCGTCCAGCAGGTTGGGGTTGGACATGGTTCTGGAGAGCGGCGCCGGCGGTGGCACGTCCTCCTCCTCTGCCTCCGAGTCGCCCAGGGCGGCCAGCAGGTCCGGCTGGGACCGCGCCAGCGCCCAGCTCCGCTCCCGGCTGTATGGGCGCGGCGGGAGGGGTCACACGGTGGCCCGCTCGTAGCGCACCGAGGAACGACTAAAGTTTGGGTGAGCGAGCAAGATTAGGAGTGGGCATTCAAATAGACCGTGAAATTGGGAGCCGCTTATGCTGAATGTTTTCGCCAAATCATTACAATCTCTAACCGATACATATTAACACCCTAAAGTGGATATCTATGGGTAAGCGAACAACAAAACTAAACTAAAACGTTTCCCACAGTAAGCCGTACGTACCGCAGTTCCTCCTCGCGTTCCTTCATGACCTTCAGCTCGAGCTGGATCTTCTCCTCGGCGGTGAGCAGGCGCCGGCCGACCACGCCACTGGAAGCCCGCCGTTCCGCCTAAGGGGGGAGGGGGCACGTCAGTAGGGGCTTCATGGCGCTGGTAAATGTCTCACGTCATCGGGATAGGTCATGGCGGTGATGTGGGGACTGGGTGTGGTATCAGAAGATAAGAGTATGTGAATCATGCCGCGGTGCCACGACAAAGCGTCAGACATGGGTCAAAGTCCTTCACAGAAGCAGTCTGTCTTGAGATCATTACGGCATAGGTATTTGTAAACACTTGTGTCTGATATTAGTCACAAAAATAAACAATCAGAAAAAACGAGACAGGCCCGAATGTCCGTAACTCTCATCAGACAAGCCAATTGTAACGAGCTCCCAAAGTCACACCACAACCCTCCCTCCTGACTCGCTGAACTCCGAGACCTTCCCAAGCCCTTCCACAGGGCCCGTCCTTCCTCAGTTCAGCAGTACTCACTCCGTGCGTTCCGGACGAGACGGCCGGGTTGTCCAGTGACCAGCTGGTCTGGAGGCGGCGCTGCACAGGCGCCTGCCCCGACCGCGGGCCACGGCGCACGGCGCCACCGACCGCCACGGCACCGGCGCGGCGCGGCTCCACAGGACTGTCGGGCGCGGCGCGGGCCACCGGCGACTGCGGCGACTGCGGCGCCGGAGCGGCGAACGCGCCGGCCGACCGCAGACGACCGCGAGAGGAGATGAACTTGGCCATCAGACCGCGCCCGGAGCCGGTGGAGGCGGGGCGGAATGTGCTCATGGCGGGGGCGGCGGCGGGGCCGGTAGAGGCGGGGCGGAAGGTGCTCAGGGCGGGGGCGGCCGCGGGGGCTGGGGCGGTGATCGGGGTGGCCACAGGCGCAGTGACCGGTCGCGGGTTGGCGGGGCGTTTGCCGGGCCGGAGAGCGGGCCGGGCGGCGGGCGGAGTGGGCCGCGGGTCGGGGTCGTTCCACTGCTGGCGCACCTGTCTGGACAGCTCGGTCATGTCGCCGAGACGGGTGACCTGCGGACGGAGAGAAGGCCAAATCAAAGACGGTCTCTATCGAGAACAAACCAGGGATGAAATACATTGGACAATGCCCGTCTGAATCGGTTTGATAAGCATCTAGCATTGAAGCATAAGCTCCCTTTAATCGGCATCGCGATAAAATGACAGGAAACATATAAATTGAACTGTTTTTATCACAAAATAGAATCGCTTGACACTATTTCAAAGTGGCATGAAACCCATAAAACGTCGACAAAACTCGAGCCATTGTTGCCCTGTCAACAACTAAGAGTTGCATCATTACACAGGCGTTTAACCTCGCCAAACAGGCAGTCCTCGCGCTGGCGCACCAAACCGCGAACCTTTTCATCGACGGTCTCCTCGCTGGTGGTGATGAGGTGTCCCTCTCCACGGAGCTCGAGCTCGCGCCGGGTGGCCTCCTCAATCTCATGCTGGACGCGGCCGGTGGCCAGTCTCAGCGCCGCCTGCCGGTGGTCGTCAGAAGGCGAGGGCGCCGGACGGCGGCTCGTGCCCGCAGTGCTCACCGAGGGAGGCTGGCCCGACTGTGGGTGGTAGATAGACGAAAGTCAGACGGGTGGGGGAGGAGGAGGGAATTAAATAAACGACCGGCAATACTGCGACACGGTGCTGTGGGCGAGGCTGGAATGGGCGTATGTAAGGACGGACTGAATAGAAGGGAGGGAGGTGAAAGAAAGACGACAAACAAAGCCTGCAACTTAGATGTTGATATAAAAGACACCGCGTTGACACTTCCGCCACATTACTGGGGCGGAGTGATGCTATTCCGCTGAGGCGGAACAAGACGGCTCTACCGGGGGCGGAACACAGTGTGACAATGATGACCCGCCACGACGATCGAGCGAAGGTCAGAGCCGGGGACGGCGGGCAGAGGTGGGACGGTCCGGCGGCGTGCTGTGTGTCACACGCTGTTTATCAGACACGGATACAGGCTGTGTCGACTGTCCGACCTCTGAAACCGATACCAGTGCAGATGGACTGTCTATTTTGATACGAGCCGCCGACTGGTGACGGCAATGGCCGTGTGGTGTTTGTGAGTTCCGTCTAATAAATCATATCTAGCACCGGATTTTAGTACGTCATGTAAGGAGATTTGGATCTACTTGGTGTTGAATTTCGTTTCTGATAATAGCAAGAGGGCGGTGGCTTCTTGGTAGCTTCACTAGCTCCTTGAGGTCATTCCGTGTCGCGTCACTATCTGATAAGGTTGATAACGTGTGGCAAAAACGAGCGGCGCCAATGATTCGGCACGCTTCCGATTGGCCGTTCGCATGCCGGTGTCGAATTGTGGTCACGACGCCTTGCACAATCACCTGACTGTACAACTCACCGTTCACATTTAATGTACCACGTTACCCGCTTGAATGCGCATCAGATGCATTATCTCTCTGCCAAGGCAGCCTCCGGAGGTATGTGAAATAAAGAGAATGTGCCTATGAAGCCGTGATCGGCACTTTGGCGGTGTTGAACAACACGCGAGTTTTCGCAGACCTCACCTCATGAGTGCGGGAGCTGGTCTCTTTGGTCGGTTTGGCCGCTCGCAGAGCCTGCTCTCTCCTGGTCTCTTCCTCCCTCTCCTTGGCCAGGCGGATTTCACGCTCGATCGGTGTCTCCGTCGACCTGCTGGGTCAGAAACACGACGTCAGGTCAGGTCAGGTGACGGAAGGGAAACCCCCAAACGTGACAGGAACAAGTCAGAAATTTTCCCACATTACTGTCACGAATGACATGCACAGATTGCACACTGTAGCTTTCGCCTAACCCCGTTCGGTATTCAACGCCGAGAAATAAACACAGTGCACTGAAAGGATGTGCCTGTCGACCACTGGCCAGGCCGCGACTATGCAGCGGATGACACGCCAACCGGTCAGTAAACACAATCCATTGAGTCGCCTGGCGCCTTGTAGCCGACACCGGGGTCCATCCATTCAGGGGCGGGTGGTGTGGATGATAAACATAGAGAGGTGGAAGGGCAGGCGGGTGGATGTTCGTGCAGTGCAGTGACTCCGGCGGTCGTCGGTTGTAGCCTCTCCCCGACTCTGTGGCTCATTCAGAAGACCAGGCTAACCCATAGGGCACATAAACTGGATGACAAAGTGATATATGATAAAAGATGCAAACAGACAGCAAAAGTGCGAGGGAATGTTTGAACGTATCATTATCCTCCCAGTGCAGTGATCGCACGCAACTTATCGCTTACAAAGAACATCCAAGTTCACCTGAAGAGCTCGGGACTGCCAAGTCATCTAACTTTACAGCAGCCCACTGTGTGAACAATGCAGCGACTGGTGACCGGCCACGAACCCCCGGTATGAGTGCGACGGCAGTGGTTCCGAGATAGCGAACCGACCAGACACACGTCTCGCTAAGTGCGCTTAATTGCGCGCCGTGAAATAATCGTGAGAAAGGTGGTGAAATTGCATGGGATAGTGGCGAGCGGCTAAGTGCCGCGATGGATAGCATTATTTAGCACTTAAAATCATATAATTAAGCATCTCCGTTTTTGTGCATGATGGATCGACACTCGATTGCTTTCTTCAAGACGTCATTAAGAGCGTTAGCCCGTAGAACACGACTGACAAAAGTAAAGGCAGCAAATCGAAAATCGGACACGGCAGGAATGCGTCATATCTTTTCCCTGATCTCTCATTTGATCCACTCCCACCTGTGTGACGAAAAACTGCCAGCTGTTCCCTTATCAGTACACCTCGCCCCTCCCCACCCCTCACCCTTCCTACCGGAAACAAGGCCTCACCTAACAAAGGAGCACCCCCCCCCCTCCCCCACGGACCGACCCTCACCTAACGAAGGACTACAAGTCACTCGCTTCCCCCCCCTCCAGCCCCGCGTCTCACCTGGCGAACGACCAGTGCTCCTCATCGCCGTGCTCCTCGAAGGGCCGGACGGTGACCCGGCGGCGGGCGGCCAGCTCGGCGGCGTGCTCCGAGCCCAGGCCCGAGCTGTGACCGGAGCTGAGGCTCTCCTGAGAGCGGCTCAGGGGGCGGCCGCGAGACGGACTGGCGGCGGACAGGACGGGTTAGAGACTGACACAGCGGGTCCGAGACACAGATCAGAGGGCTGTTCACGGGCCCTGTGTGCGGTCGGACCGCACACAGCCTCGAAGCTCCGCCCACTGCGTCCCTACGTCAGCCTTCCGTCACCGCACACAGCGATCGCTGTGGCCGGTCGGGACTGGCCACAGCGGACCGTCCACCGCACGCAGCCGTGACGTCAGAGCCGCCTACCCATCCCCTACCCCCACGCCTGCTGGACGCACCGCACACACCGCACGCAGCAGTGTGCGGTGCCCGTGAACACCCCTCAGGTACAGCGGTCCAGTCGGAGGTGATCAGCATAGACCGAAGGTCAGAGCGGGATGATGACAGACACAGTTAGGGTCAGCGACAGGGAATGATTTAAGCAGCGGCAAGTCAAAGATGAGAGGATTTGTCAGGTAAAAGGTCAAAGGACAGTGGCATTGATCAAAGTAAGATCAAAGAGTCACGTCAAATATCAGGTCTGATGGTAGGTCAGCGGCCACTTGAGAGGTCAGGTTGAGGACAGGTCGGGTCAAAAGAGGTCAGTTCCGAGGTCAGTTGAGAGGACAGGTAGAGGACGGGTCACAGGTCAGGTCAGAACTCAGGTCACAGGTCAGGTCACGGCTCAGTTCAGAGGTCAGCTCCATGTGGCACCCCGGGGAGATCTCCGCGCCCCGGTGGGGAGACCAGCCCTATATATAGACCAGATCGGGCCTCGGGGTGCACTCCGCATGACTGACGACACCGCGGGGGGCCCTGTACTTGAAACCCTGCAACGAGCCTACCAAAGCAAGCAGAGGGGCCGGATGGGGAGAGGGAGGGGCGGTGACAAATGAACGGGGCAGCCGACTACATTGGACTTGTTTGGCCAACGCCGGGCCGAGCGGCGGCCGCCACTCGGAGTGCAAACTTTGACCGGCTTTCAAAGCATGCATCGTGTTTATTTGAACGATGCAGTGTATTGAGGACAGTCAGCTAGGGGTAGATATACGACGAATTTAGACTGGGATACAATAACTGAACGTACAACCTCACTTAGTCCGACTATCAGAATCGACAGCAGGGGTCACAGAAAAGGCCCAGCTCAACTTTATACGCTAGCAATGGAAGGATTCAGTTTATCAGTTAAGGACACTTCAAAGGCTCATAGCTGATAGAGCGAATGTTTAAAAGGCAGATACGGGTTTAAGTACTACAACAGCATGACTGTCCTTGATTGTGAAGAGCCCTACAGACGCTATCAACCTTTGACCGAGCCAAACGTAGCGTGACTGTGCCCACCCCTTCTGTCGCCAAATCGATAGTGTAATCAATGTTCTCTACATGTCAAACAGATATAGAGTTTCTGCTTATAATGAGTTCACCTATACTTTATGAACATGGCTTATCAATCAAACGGAAAACCGACAACAGATGCTTGATAAGCTCGTGGCCATCTGATATCTGCCTCACGTTTGCATGATCGCCTCTATAGAAACCTGACGGAGTACCCGGCCGAGACGGCTCCAACACATGTCAGTTTCCCACCAATACGCCTACAGCGACTGGATAGACCATCTGCTGCTACTCATTAGACGTTCTCGCTCGTCTCAGACAGTTAAACCGCCGGCCGGTTCCCATGTTTTGGTGGCGACGTGGCCCGTTTTACGAGGTGGCCCCAGAGCACGCGGCGCCCTCTCGGCTCAGCGGCGGCAGAAGCTGCCTCCCGCGGCCTCACAAGGTCGATTGGTGTGAGTCGGTTCTGACATCACCGTCGTGATGATCTGACATCACTGTGTATACAGCTCGCACGGCGGTGCGTCAGAAGTCTAGCGTCACATATTGCTAGGGTTGTGGCGACAAATTCTGACAGAGCTGCGGCATCCGAGACCGAAGCCAGGAAGCTTGCCTATGAGAGACTGGGACAGTGGTTAAACAGCTCGGCATGTGCCTGTTGTGCTCCTTCAATGTTGTTCTCCTTCAGAGGAAGACAAACATGGACACACGCAGGGATACGAGAAACAAATGACGAAACTTGGGAAACGATTCGCGCGGTAACTAACGCAGTTTCTGTAGCAACCGTACAGCACAGTTATAGTGCTGTTCGGTAACTTATCTTTAGTATCGGCAGTGGCAATTGTAAGGTGTTTGGGTCGCCGGTCGGATCTGGGGTCGGATCATCTCACCTGTCGCCCTCCTCGGTGAGACTATCCTTCTCCTCGCTGCCGTATCCGGAGAGCGGCTCGTCGGCCGGCGCCGGGCTGCTCAGCGGGCCGGCGGCGGCGCGCGCACGGCGCAGCTCCTCCTCGCGGCTGCGCTGCTCGCGGATCTCCCGAGCGATCCGGGTCTCGGGCGAGACGCCCTCCACGGAGCGGCGCCTCCAGCCGGCCGGCGCCGGGTCGGAGCCGGCGCCCGGAGCGGCCGGAGCCGACATGCGGGAGCCGTGGGCGGCCGCGCGCGAGGAGCAGACGGGCGAGCTGTGCGCCGAGCTGCGCCGTGAGCTGTGCCGCGAACTGGGCGACGAGCTGGTGTCGCAGGTGCCTCCGCCGCCGCTGGTACAGGAGCTGCTGTCCGCCGCCGAGAGGAGCTCCGCCTGAATACGCGTCTCCAGGAACGTCTTGGTCTTCTGCTTGTTGGCTATGATGGACAGAGCCTCCACACCTGAGGAGAAAAGGGTGTCACACTCCATGTCAGTAATGACAACACTGAAGTCAGAAGGAACACGAGCGAAAGTGGAAGGGCCAAGCAAGGACTAATCAGCCACACGATAAAGACCACACATCACGATAGCTTCACTTCCAGGCTTTCAGCTTGGATGAAACTCACAAACCATCACCCTTTTAAAACACCATTTAAAACGACCCACACTGACGCGACTGCCTCTCAGAGACCGTCCCCACCTCACAGCACGTCCACCGCGGCCGGCTACACTCCGCAAAGAGCCGGGCTCGTCACTGCCGCGGCCGCCACCCACCGTGCCGGCCCTCTGATACCGGTATCGGGCTCAGATGAGACACACGGACGGTATATCGGGTCTGATAGGTACTGACTATGGAGAGAGAGGGGGAGGGGAGGGAGGAGATATGGTATCGGAGGTTATAGGGGCTTAATTCAGAACTGCCGAGCTCAGAGTCATAGGATGGTGGGAGGGAGAATGGATGTGGAGGTGTTAAATGAGTCAGGTGTGTTGGGTGCGTCACGAACGATTTCAGAACGATATGAGGGAAGGTGGGTGTCAAGCCAGTTATTGGAACGGTGACAGAAAGCATTGATAGTGCTGCTGTATTGACATCATCATGTCGCCGCACTCAATGTTGGGCTAAGGCCCGCAAGGATGGGAAAAGTCAACTTTTAATCAATAGGCATTTGAGTTGCTTTCAATTGAAGAAGTACTGACATCAATAGGTTTCAAACCACCTCGCCTTCATTCATATGCATCACGACTTCTTACCAAAGTCTGAGCAATGACTGCCAGAAATAAATATGAAACTCGGTAAATTTTAATAAAAACAATCACGAAGGTTCGACGTCATGCGTATTCATCGTTCATGGGCAATGGGCACGCACAGCACGTCGACGGAAATAGGATGCTTATAGCCCTGTAGACATGTCCTACACGGTTGCCAATTTGTTTAACGACAAAATGATTGGAGATGATGACACCAATATTTCTCAACTATAGCGTCGATGATTGCAGTAACGTAATGCTACATTGTTTTACGATGCTTTGGTTGTTGAACCCGCGAGTTATTCGATTAAAGTAGCCGTATAACAAGCACATACGGCTGATATGCCAGTAGCCATCCACAATAACTTCATGGTGCTAGCCGGTATAAGGCACCAATTCACATGAAAATTAATAAATAAGCCGCCGTCGACTATCGAAACGATACATGACATTCCAAGTGGACCGTGGTTCATTGAGTGTTCAGTCTTGGGCGTGCATTATAGCGGACTCAAACTTTCAAACATTCATTCGTGAAATAGGTTGTAAACCTGTTACCACTTTTTTAATAATTTGTCGATGCATGTGAAATGTATGGGCTGCCTTGTGTCCATCAAATTCACATATATCGCTCAAAAATGATTTTTCTTGCACATACATATTTCAGACGGCTTTGTAAGGCCCATCCAGAAGTAACATCAATGCACCTGAGCTGCGTTTAAGTTCTGTGCGGCTGTCGTATCCCCCGCAGTCACGGTTAGTAATGACTGTGATAAATCGAGAGAGGCACCCGCCTGTCTCGGCCATCACGGCAGAAGGCTCACCGCGGCACCCTTCCTGTCCTAATGAGGAGAGGGTCTGCATGTCAAATAGGCACCCCACCGGACACACACTCTGTGAACAATTGTACACCTCAGCGCGACCCCAGCCGTACTTGAAAGCCGTGAGAATGTATAATGAGAAGTTGCAGTAAAATGAGTGGTGTTTTCTTTCTCAGGAAAACATTCAAAAGTGCTTGTAAAGACCAACACAATGCCCTTTTGTGTTCGTCGTTTACGTTGTAAGTAAAAGTACGGCAATGGTAGATGATGTCCTTGAGTTAGGGACTGTGTATGTGAAGACACGGTGCGCAGCCTCACGATGTCGGGCAGACTGTTGACAAGTCGCGTTTGTTTATTCCAACTTGTATTTCCGAGTCCCACACGCTGAATAATGTATGAGCTAGACGCACTTCTATAACTGTTCCCGACAGACGCGCACTCTCTCCTGAGTCGGTGATGGTGAGTCTGTCCGGAGCGGGCCGCCGTCTCGAGCGGGGCGGGGCGGAGGGTGGTGACAGCCCCCTGTGAGGTCTCCACAGTGACATACTCCACCCGCTCCGCGCCGCGGGGGGTCCGGTCGGGACCGGCCCTTCGCCGTCCGACCGGTACTGCGCACCGACCGGCGACCGCCGGCTGGCCGGCCGTGTGACCGTCTGACCCGGCACTATGCGACAGGTGCCGCCCGGTGCACCAGCCGGTGCACCAGCCGGTGCACCAGCCACCACACCGGCCACCACACCAGCCACCACACCGGTCACCAGGGCGGTCACCAATGCGGTAGCTAGTGTGGTTAACAATGCGGTCGCCAGGGCGGCCAACAATGCGGTCACTACAGATCACCAATGTGGTCACTCGAGGGTTTATAAGCGTAGTCACCGATTACGATGGTAAGACCGTGCCGATCACACACGGTTCCGCCCAGGTCATAGCCGACTGGCTCAGGTTTGAGATTTAAAAACCGCACAACTAAACGCTGAACTTTCAGGCACAAAGCTGTTCTGTGATGTGGTTCAATTGTAATGACGGTTGAAGCGACATGCTAAGATTCATGCAGTGTAAATATTTAGCTAAAACGGTTAAAATTCACACTTCCAAACGAGCAAAATGAGGACCGCCGTATTAGCTCCAGATCCAACCAAACCAAATCTTAGCAACATGACCCAGGCAAGATCCAGTAATACACATCATACGGTAGGGACCCACAGCCGACCATCCTTCGAAAAGCTGCCCGTTTAGTAAATGGACAGATAAACGGGGAGCGGGGTTCGATGACCGATGGTGCCCAGTGGGCCGTGACGGGTGACTGGTGACCAGCGATCAGTGACTGATGACCGGTGACCAATGACCGGTGACCGGTCACCAATGACCCGGCCGGTATCACGGCGGGGACTGCCCGGCCATGTCTGGCGCAGGGCCACGCCACGCCGCCGACACCGCCATCGCGTCTAGCGCGTCAGTGTCGTCACGCCGTCACGGTCCGCCGGCGTGACGGCCGAGCGCGCCAGCCGTGACGGCGTCACGGCGCGCCGCTTTACGCCCGTGACGAAGACGACGGGACGGTGAGCATGAGCGAAAGGCCATGGAAAATTTCGAAAAGATCATGAGGTAATGTTGATGTTTCACAGATCAACGCAAGAGATAGGTCGGAAAACCTGAAGTAAGGGACTGAAAAAGATACCTACCAGCCACCGGTCAAGATAACGGTAGCTCAGAGCTGAGAGCGTAATGTTTGGATATGTCGCCATGACCTCTCGGACCAATCTCGATTATCTTTGAGAGTTGGCCGGTATCTGGCATCTTGAGATGCCAGGGCTGATGAAGTCACTTTTAATCGATAGCCCATAAATAAGGATGTCATAGATCCACTGCGAGAAACGGCCATCGATGCATCTCCTGTTCTTGCACAGTGCTATCGATTGTGTAAAATACTAATGCAATGAAAAGCTGAAGAGGCTACGCATTCCATCAACACCTCAGTATCTGAGATGGAAGGCAGGGTCGATGGGAATGCCTAACAGCGTCCATAGTCCAAATCTCAACGAGCATCTCTCCGTACCTTTCTACAAGCAGCAAAAACTTCGACAAAACACTGGCCGGGCCCGGGAAAATGATGGCCCTACTAGCCAGCGCGGTCCGGTCCTGCCTGCTGAGAGATAGATGAGGGTGCTGATGTTTATTTACCTGTCGTGATCATCACTCCCGGCTCGTCGTGATCCTCCATGGTTCGAGCTCTGACCCGAGTCCGCGGTAGGGTTAGATGAATACGCGGAGGTCAGTTTCTTGGCCTACAGTTCTGTAGGCTGATGAACTAAATCACAGGCGCTTCTGTTGACTTCAGGCTTCTGAACTTTTCGTAGTTTTGCCGAAGTAGAACAGATAAGCGATGACAGGGCTCCGATACTTTCCGTACTTTCGCCGGCACCAGAACACTCAGCAGTCAGCAGCCTCTCCCGAGTCTCCAGCGCACTACTTCAGCCCTTCATCACTCCTCCTACCTCAAAACAAACACAAACACCGCACCACAAACACACAAACGGCACACCGAGCTCCAGCCGCTCACCAGCCGCCGCCGCTGCCGAGTGGGACGGACGCGCCGCGGAGAGAGGCACCGTTACCGTGGCTCGCGGCGGCGACGGCGGCGGCCTACTGGAGCCGTCGCCCGGCCGGCCCGACTGTGCCGGCCTGGAGCGGGCCGGGCCGGGCCGGGCCGGGCCGGGTCGCCAGTCTCACCGACGGCACGCCGCTGTAGCCAGGTCATGCCGTCAGGAACGGTCACGGAGCGGTCAGACGGACCACTGCGGGATGCCGGGCCGCAGCGAGATGCAGAGGAGGGAGAGGCTGGTACTGGTTGGAGGAGCACAGAACGGGGTACAGGACGGGAAGAGCTCAGGAGTTTGTACTGTGAGCCGCGGACCGTGGGGTTGTTACCAGGTGAGCAGACAGTTCAACCCATTAGATAAGGAATGTAGCGAGACGTATGGCAGTGTAACTATCTGCTCCAAAACTACTGACCTCGAGTGAGCCACTGAGTCAGGTTCTGTCAGCTCTGGTGAGAACGGCGAATAGGTCAAGAAGCTTTTTTTCTCAGCACACTTGTAAGTGACAACACTTGTTCACGCATCTGTAGCACTGCTTTAGAGGCTTTAATTAGACATATTTAAAAAGCTGATGAATCACCAATCTACCCAGACTGTTGGATAACATTCGTACAAGTGTGCACATGCTTGACTTACGAGCCGTATTCTACGGGCATAACTTCCCGAACTTCCACTAAAGTCAATTTCGACGCTGATTCTGACTCCAACTCCCACTCCGAGCCCCGCCCTGACTCCCAACTCCGACTCCGACTCTGACGCGGAGTCACGGCGCAGCTCCGTTATACGGCTTCTCCAAGCGTCCGATTCGTGGGACTCGACATATCCGGGGTCGAGTTCCATGCAAAAACTGCGCCCTGCCCGGCCCTGCTACCGGCGGAGATTACCCCATAAACTGCAATGAAGACGCCACGAGGTACATTCACAACAGTCGTTCCAGCGGGCGGGCGCCGCGAATTCAGTCCAGTCCACGGCGACGCCGTTCAAACTGTCGAGGGATGTAACGAAAATAGCGTTTACAATGCAGTTAACGAAGATTTTAAACCTGAGTGGATGTTGGTCCCAATTGAATCCGAAATGCAAGCAAGTAAAACGTCGGATCTATCAACGAAAGGAGAGGAACAATGGGTCGAGTTTACGTCTTAACAAACTACGAAATAGGTATGAACGCATTGTCGCGTTAGCAAAGCTAGCAAAGCCCAAAGAGGCTCAGCCCGTTCTAGAGCCTCGCAGCTGAAGGAGGTGGCTAGACACCGAGTCAGATAGAACCACCTCTGGATGTTGGACTTTAGGTCACATGCTCAGCATTCAGCACAGCACTCGGGTCAAAGTTTCCCTCACAAATCCTGACACAAGCGCTGATGAATTTCCCCCGCCGACAGTCATGAATCGGCAACCGCCGGAGGTCGAGCCAGGTCGGGTCATGAGTTGAAGTTTCTCCTGAGCAGCGGGACCCAGCGACCTGCGCCGATGAGCTGACCTCCGCCCCCACACCGGAAAATACTAAATACTTAGTAGTTCCAGTTCCCGCCCATAAGGCGTGATAACGAGAGAGTCAACCGGTGGTTAGGTACTTAGAGGTCACACAGGGCTTATCGGCCGCACAGGGCAGTCCGATGTTGTATGTACTTATGTGCACCTCAATGAATGGTACGGTATTGTATCGACTCTATAACTGGACAGTGCACAGATACAGAGACGAAACGGCGCGCGCAGCGGGCACGCCGGTACCTCGTTGCATTCCTGCAGAGTCCGACAAATGTGTACTAAAGCTTCCAGCGCTAGGCCTTCCATCGCTGGACGAATAAGTAGGTACGAGCATGCAGCGATGACCCAGTTAAACTATGTCGGTAGGCAGGCATACGACTGGCCCCTGAGATTTAGTGACTGCATCACATTATCGACTGGGAAGAGCACATGCAGTGATATGATCATCGGTGGCAGACTGTTTCTCGGACCATACCCAAGTGTCCCGAGCTCACAGCGGCCGGCCCACACCTCCACCAAATCACAATAGCCGCGTTTCGCCACAGAGGGATGCCGGATAGTGACGTCACCGCCGCCAGCTGAGGTCAGCGACCGTGAACACGCAGTAAAGGCCGGCGGATGACGACGGCGGCCCGGCCGACGGCACGACCGGCCGAGAAAGCGCCAATATTGGGAGAAACGAGAACATTGTGCGGCGGCCATGGAACTCTGACAACATTGCAGATCGTGAAACCGTGGTCACAGTTTGAGTAAACTAATGTGTGTGCAGCCAGGCTTCTAAAATGTTAATTAACACTTGGCACCGTTAGTCACGAGTCTGAAAACTCCGTACGGAACGTCCTAAATGTGTGCCTTGTGCAATCAACTAGTTTTGGAGTGACACTCAAGTTTATACTTGTGCATCGGTATGCTGAAACAAACATTTAATATGAGTACCCCGGTTATTATATGTATGTAAGTGGACATCGAGATTCGACTGCTCGCTCATGATTGACCCTTTCATACGTGCGAATTATGAATTCAAAGAAATCAAGTCGATCAATGGGAGCTTTGAGGTTGGAGGAGAGGCAGCAAATCTTCAGATTATAAGTGTGAAGGAGGCTTCATTGAGTTCTGCTCTACCAAAGGTCAAGTGTCGGTCTGAAATGTTAACAAGGAAACAGAGACCCCTTCTGCACCAAGCAGACTGAAATGCAACTGATCGCTTAAATAGCGTAGTAATGAATCAAAATGTAAAGCTAAGCGAAATGTCAGAAGTACCTACTAACCAATTGTGGAAAACGATACGAAGATGTCACTCAAAACTAGCTACACCCGGTTACCGTAATATCATCAAGCTACAAGCTTATCACAAAAACAGCGAAAAATGGTCACAGAGAAGGTCGTAAATCGTAATTGTAGAGTTAAGTTAGGTAACTGTACTGACCACGCATCGACCACGATATACACCACATCCAAGCGAACTTTAGAGCATAACAACCTGTTTGATCACAACATCTGGCATCATTCGGTTTATTATTTTCCTAGCCCATTCCAGCAACAGACAACCACAAAAATGGTCAGCTAGGATGGAAGCGTTATCCGGAGCTGGATAATCCTCCGGCGCGAGCCGCCGGTCGCTGTACCACGGCGGGATGCTCATTACTGTCGGAGGGACAGTCCGTGGGACAATCTGCTGGAAAACTCCCACGCGATTCACCCACGGTGGCCGAGTCTCCCGCGGCGACCGGAAGTGTGCGACCGACGCGGAGATGGCGAGTGAAGGCCCGGACGGCGGAAACCAGCGGAGACCAGCGGAACCCAGCGGAACCGGCGGAGACCGCGGCTACGCCGGGACAAACGGAACTCCTCCGAAATGGAATACCGATGCGTGACAAATACCTTATACCGGTGTGAGATGAGCATAGGTAGATAATTACGTGTGGATAATGACATAGCCCGTTACCAGTTTCCAGCAGAGACACATTTTCAAGTAAGCACAGCACTATCAAGCAAAAGCTTCCCAATGAATCATAAATACGGACAAAATGAAACAAAGCCAACTGCCTCTATCAGGCCTTTCACAAGGTCTTTTATCTTGCAGCTCGATTCCAATACCATGGATTGCAGATTGTGACGGACCTTGACAATCTACACCATAGGGCATAGATTGTAGACGGACCTTGCTTTATCAGAATTCAGAAAACGGATCCGGTAAGTGGACGTTGGATCTATATGTTATCGGATCTATGTTATTATCTATATTATTCTTATTATGATCTATATATTATTATAGGATCTATATATGTTTCTACTGGCCCGTATCTAAAACAGCATCATCCATGCCGGGGAGGACGGTGGATCCATCCTTCTGGTGAACCGTGTCAATACCGTAGCTCAGCTAGGTCGTACCAAGTAGGAAGGTGGATAAAGTCGCTGGGAACTACTATGGACGTCAAACCCCTTGAGACCCCACTTTTTTGCGATAATTTTTAAATGCGTTCACTCTCGTTGACAATATTCTGGCAATGTGTGTTTCAGAACCTGCCGAAACTTTTATTACTAAGGTATTTTGACGCCAAACGATTATGAAAGGTACTTCTCATTCACTCGTAATGTTAAATTTCACGGAACGAATCTGATGTTTGGGTAGAGGCTACGCGCTCATGGGGCGGAGCCACGTAATGACGTCAGCGCTAAGCTCCGCCCTACCCCTCCGGCGCTCCTTGCCCGGCGACCGGTCACTCGCGTCTCTCGCTCCATTCAGGCTTGATGGTGGGCGGTAGCTGGTAGCGGTAGCGGGCGCTGGTAGATGGCATTTAGAGCAGATGGCGCTAGTGGCGGGGCTCGAGTGTGGCCGAGCGCAAGCCTCTGCCCGGGCCTGAATTGACCTTAGCATTACGAGTGAATGAGAAGTACCTTCCATAATCGTTTGGCGTCAAAATACCTTAGTAATAAAAGTTTCGGCAGGTTCTGAAACATACATTGCCAGAATATTGTCAACGAAAGTTGACGCATTTAAAAATTATCGCAAAAAGTGGGGTCTCAAGGGGTTTGACGTTCATAGTAAGTCAATGCAGTAGCTGTAGCTATGGTCGTACCGAGGAAGTAGGAAGACGGTCTGGACTCTGGAGCCAGCCGACTGGTGGTCCATGTCTACTGTCTACACATGGAGCCGACACCACCCGCGCCGAGGAGTGCCGGGCGGTGGATCCAGCCTTCTACAGAGCCGTGGCTCAGCTGGCACGCGCCGAGCTGGGGCGGTGTATCAGCCTTCTAGAGAACCGTGGCTCAGCTGGCCCGCGCCGAGCCAGGGCGGTCAGATGTGGCCGAGCGCGGCCGGTCACGCGCCACTGCGCGCGGTCAGCTCGACCGGCCCTCTCCGCCGGCAGCGCGGCTGAACGGGGCCGTGTCACACCCGGACACACACGGTAACAGCGACCGGCACTGACCCTCCGACAGCTAACGGCACCGGGAACGGGCACACTCACAATCATAGCGCCGGCGCGGTGCTGTAGACATATCCAAGGTGGCTTGATATCAGACTTGATACCTGCGTCCTTAAAATTGAAAGCGACACCCACATAGAATC